CAGCAATCTGCTTTCCTCTCCAAAGTGGCCAGTAAAGCAAAGGTTTGTTGTTTTTATAATCAAAAATTAGCCGTTCTCTTAGCTGCATTTGTTAGAGGCAGAGAGACACATCGAAATGCCTGTTTCGGTAACATTCTGGTATTTTGATTAACTGTTGCTTCGTCATCGTCTTCTTTGGTGCAGCTGACAACTTCATTATTCGTATTGCACTACTCTCACCCACATAATTCCATGTTATCCGTTCCATCGGATCTTTCTTCCGTTTTTAATTTCCATTAATTCTTTTAACAGTGCGTGGATGCCATTCAGTATTTTTTTTTGTCACTTGTTATCACTCATTCTTGACAAATGACTATCCCAGCTCTTCTTCCTAGTATGCGCATTACTTTGATGGTGTTGAATGCACAAGACCGGGCTCGCAGTATTTTACTGAAAAACTGCTGCAGCTTGTTGAGTTAAGATGTATATGACTTAATGAATCGAAACGTCTTATCGCACTCTTGCCTCCTTTCCTCATCTTCCTCCTGCTTTCTTTATTCAGAGCACCTTCGACACTTCGGCATCCAAGGTCAACCTGGAGGCTATAATCGGCTATCGGCTTATCTATTCGTCGTTCCGTGGCGTGTGGATTGCCGTTAAATTTCCTCTTGTTTCATGTTTCATTGTACGGCAATACTGGCCCTAAAAATGCCTTTTTACAAAGAACATTGATCAGAATTTTTATGAATTATTCATAAATTATGAATTGGCAAGCTTTTTCAGTTAGGAATGGATTCGGTACTGACAACGCTGGATCCTGGAATGAAAGACTTCCTGGAAGGCACAGATCACCTTCATGCTCTGATTTTATGCGGTAACAGCCGCCAAATTGCTGACGCAATTAGGCATGGCTTGTGTTTTGCATTCAGCGAAGTAACGTTCGATGAAACACCCGCAGAAGCACATTTTAATCCTCATATTCAGATTATTGGACACGATTCGGCCTGGAAAGTAATGGTTTCCTCTGCCTTTTTTCCAGTACAACTTTAATATGTCCGAATACAATTTTTTACTAATGCGTCTTAATTTGGTGAAATGAAAATGAAAACTCGCCAAATTTTTATACAATTCAGTGACAGGCCTTTTCATCTCGTGAATTCTGCATTGTGCTGAAGCTGATAGTTACACTAAGGGTTTACGGTACCAAAATTAAGCCTGAGCAAAAAGGAAAAAGGCTCAGTTCTGTGGGATTCATGAGGGCAGCACTGTCAGAAGTTGAGTATCCCTTTAAGCAGCTTTTGATTTCTTGCAGCATAAAGTATTTTAATGTGCAAAATTAACAAATTAACTCAGATTAGCAAGAATTCTTGGACTACCATTAGTGTAATGATTTATTGCCACTGAGAGGCGCCCACATTTATCAAAGGGAGCGCGTTATCCTAACATTTATTGCAACATTTTTAATTCGCAAGATAAACACTGAAGGCATTGTAAAGTAAACGTTTATGATATTGCGAAACATCGTATTGTGTGCCACCCATCCAGTTCAACAGAAACCGAATTCATCAGTAGAACAATTCCAACAAGGGAATTTTACACGGGTAACGTACTGCTGAAAAGTTGGATCGGAGAAGGAAGTAAAAGTGGCACTGAAAAACATAAAAGGAACTGGGCAAATTAGGTATAATAATAATAAATAGCAACGCGCACTACACTAGCCGGTGCGATCATGCGTTTTGTACAATTTAGCCCATCGAGCGATTGCCTATTAATGATTTTTACTGCTTTGTATTTTAGTCTATGCAAAAATAGTTCAGAAATTGGAAAATAGTTAAAAATTTCACGCGCCAGCGCTTGGAAGCTGAATTCGAAACCTTGAATGGTGAATATCTTTCCGTGATTCCTGAACTAATAGTTTACCCCCAAAATTTTCACGAGGCCGTAAGTGATACTCGAGAGCGCGGGAAAGCTGAATTTGAATAGACAAGGTTGAGCGTGGGCAGGGGGTCATTACCCTAAAATTTCAACCTCCTAGACTCCGTGGTTCCCGAGATATTGATTTACCAATAAAAAACTTTCACGTGGCCATAGGTGTTACCCGCGGGT